TGACTTGTTGACAGTCACGTGACCCATAAGGCAGCAGATAAAAGGGTTTGGTTATCGGTAACGAGATTGGAATCTTTTTGTCACCACTTGTTTGACAGGCAAAGTACAACTTCATGTATATAAATGATCTCCTAGTCTTCTTGATATACACTCGAAATTTAGTTAATTTATATTCATCTTTGTTGTTATTTTTCTTGTCATACATAAGAATCGATCCCGGTCTCATGCGATGCAACTTCTCATTTTCGTGCCTGTATACACAATATTGTCCTACAACATAACATATAACTATTATAGGAAGAGAAAATGAACTAAGAGAAGGAACCTCTGGTATTCATACTTGTGTAACCATAATAGGAACTGTTTGATGCTATTTTTAGAATCACATTTGCCATCGTTTTTCTGTATTCGCATACTGCGCGCGCTTAACGATGTTTACTCACGTTATATTTAACATAGGAAACATGAAAAAACAGGCTGTTTAAGCATCAAAGATTCTAAAATAAGGATCAAAGATATAACAATAGCATCAAGGAGTGCCAATAACGGGCACTGGAATTCCTTCTCTTAGCTTATTGTCTCTTGATTATAGGGTAACGCCGAGATTGTTGTCGATATCGACATATCGTGAACGAGTATTATTTCCGGGTATCACATTTTGTCGGGGCTTTGAGTGAGAAAAGCAAAATGACTCTGTGTTATGAGGTTTAAGTTTTGAATAAGAAGTTCCCTATCCTACAAATAAGATTCAACAAAAAAGATTTCTCATCATTAGCATCCTTTGCAAGCAAAAAAGTGTTGGTCATGCTTTTATCTTTTGGGAATGTATGCAACCCATCCATCTTTAGCTGATACTGATACTAGCCTACCGTGGTTTAGGCTATTTCATAATTTTAGCATACGAAAACGTAAATAAACCCTGCTAGTTGATATATATAGACTGACCTGATGGCCAAACTTTACCCTTTTTGTTTGTCTTGCTGCAAAAATGTCTCTTCACATGACTGCGAGCAACTTTTCCATCAATGTGTAAAGTTTGTGATCTGTTATTACTTGGGTTTTTATCTATTGTGTCTTGGTAAATATATCCCTTGTTATCCCATCCTGCAGGACATCCTGTCCTGGGCTTGAGAAGGGTATATGTACCATAAGGCCACGTGGGCGGTGAGCCTGAGGATAATGGAGGATATGTACAAACAAAATTAKATTATTATAACGCATGCGCGTCGACAGTCTTAGCGGTCAGTCTGAGTAAAGTATATTCACTATAAGGCCATGTTGGGCCTAAGGATAACGGAGGATATATTGAAACAACACAATCTATACCCAGAGCCAGGGCCCAGTTGCATAAAGCTCTCTTAAGATWAARAAKCTWAAAAACACTCGTAAGTATTGTCTTAGTACAATKKCCTATTKTTTTGGAACAATACTTACGGATGCTCTTATCTTAAGAGAGCTTTATGCAACCGGGCCCAGGGTTCTGGCATAATCCATTTTTTGAGACCAGGATTTCTTGGACTTCCAGTATAAGAGCGCATGCGTTAAAAGAGAAAAAAATGAAAAAAATATGTTCCCGATTTAAAATTTGTATTTTGATCGTAAGTTATCACAGAACTCTGTTTGAAAGCATGATTTTSATATTGATTATATTTCACTTCCGAAAAATTGCGCATGCGCCAAAAATTGGATTATGCCAGAGCCCTCGTTCTTCGCCGCAGTCCAGAAGAAACGTAGGCTGTTGGTACGAGATTAGAAATAACATAACTGAATTACTCTAACGCATGCGTGACAGTCTTATTGAGTCTGTCACGTAATAAGAGAAACAGTTTTATGGCTTATMAAAATATTGAAGTATTAAAGACTGAATTTATTGCTGTGTCCACTTAAGCATTTAGATTTTAAAAAAAACATTCTTTATATTTAGCCATTAATTTTTAGATTTTCAGATGCCTATTTATAATACGTTGAGTGTTTATATTATTTATATACGGTTTCCGCTTGACAACTATATATGACGCGGAAATCCCTGACATGTATTAGATTCGATAATACGGGCATGACTTTAACACTCAACATGTCACAAGATCTTACCTTTATTCTCTACTGCTGTGTGTAGAAGAATCACAAAAACGAACGAACACCACGGATACATCGTGTAAGTGGCCAAGAACACGAGACGGTCACCTCACTTAATATTCCTCTTCGTGTGTAAGAGATGGTTGTGTATCTCAGCATTAGACTTTCATTCTCTGTTCTACGTTCTACTCGCGCTACGACTGGTTTCGAAACATCCTAACTACCCCTCCCCTATACGGTAGATTCATTTTGTTTGGGGGGAGGGGGAGGGGGAGGGGGAGGGCTCGTGTGGCAGTAGAATAAGGCGGTATCGTCAGTAAATGAGAGAGAAGGTTCAGTAATGTGTGCAGAAGAAGATAGATTTCTATAAGATGGCTTTGAAAAGGTGCCACCTTTGTGTTTGTGGCTTATTTGTCATGGATTCATAAAACGTTTTCAATGATAAATGTTCTAAACCAACATTCTAATTAAGCTTTTGTCGTTGAAAATAATGAAATCATAACGCAATACATGCACCGTCGCATCACTTCAGCCACATTTGATGACAGAAAGATAGAATCTCTTTCACTTGAGAAAATGAAACGTGTAGTAGTAAAAAAAATACCATTTGTCACCTTCCAACGGCTAGAGCTTCTTTCAACACTAAAATGTCGTCGC